CTCTGAACCATCTGATCTTTCCTCCCAAGCAAGTGGATTTTTCTTTCTTCCTTCTTCCAAAATCTTTGCCCTACTTCGTGTTACAATTTGAGAAGGAGAATAGGTGATCCTGCCCTTGAAATCTCGCCCCACATCAAAAGGTGTTTTGAACATCCTAGAGAAATCTATTTGAAGAGGTTTTAGAATGTTGTCATTGAAGACCTTGTCTTCTCCTTCCGAGTGGGTATATAGAATAGGCCCCTCTCTATCTTCCCTGATGTCTTCTAGTGCATTGTTACTTAGTACCAGGTTCTCTTCATCAAAATTGTCAAACTTTTCTTCCTTGAGTGGGCTGCCATCTTCCAGGTCGACTTGATCAAAGAGAGCTGCATAAGTGTTGGGCATAATTGGAATGAATTCGGCAGCAAAAGGGGATAGGCGCACTCTTGGAAGCTGGGGGTAATGAAAATTGTATGATGAATGAGTCTCTGCCAGAGCAAACTTATCCTTTTGCTTATGTACATCCAGTTCAAGATTCTGCTAGGCCATCATTCTGATCAGTTGAGCCGTGATGTACATCCTGCCCTACCATAAGTTGTACTCTTAATCGCTCTTCACACTTTTGACAAATTTGGGTTGAGTCTACCACATCTGGCAGCAAAACCAGATTGGATTGGGTATCAGAATCTCCTAACCCGTTGGTTTTTCGAGTCGGGCTTAACTCATGGTCCTTCGACACCTGCTCTAATACCAGTTCATTAGCAGCAAGAGAACGTAAATCTACACTAGAGTGCACTGGACCAGCCAAGCCAGCAACCTCAAATTCCCTACCCCCTGAAACACCTACTGCTTCCCCAAACTCCCCAAACCCCTTATCCTTGTCCAAACATCGAACTCTCTCAAAAAAGCACCTAATAGCCTTAAGGAACTGAGTTGGCCCATCATCATGAACTCCAAAGGGGATATGAAGGAATCTACTACCTTCCTTTCTAGCTTCTAAAATGCGTATATAATCCCCCTATGATTAGAGTCTTTAAAAATTTCAAGTGTTCTCTTAGCATCCAATTTAACACAGGCCCAAGAAGAACCGGAAATGATTCTAGGAAGAGATTCCATGACCCAGGTGAGTGAATCAGAATCTAACCATAATTGTATGTTTCTTCTCCCTTTATCAGTAATACTGAAGATCTTATTGTAGACTGAGTAAAAAAGCTCAAATACCTTATGAAGAATTCTGAATTTGAAGCTGATGTTCTTGCTAGGCCATGGAGAGGAGTGTTCTTTCTGACCCTGTAAGATGATTCTCTGTTCTGAAAGCACATATGAGTTTTTCAGGCCGTATACCTCAGGG